TAAGAAAAAAAAACTGACCTACCCTGAGGACGAAAGAATTCTGCCTCCAGACTGCCTTTGGACTTAATACTGCAATTTTTCCCTGGGTCTCTGAGCCTGCTGTCCTGCCCTGAAGATTTTAGACTTCCTAGCCCCCTTCACTTGCATATGTGTGTGTGTGTGTGTGTGTGTGTGTGTGTGTGTGTGTACACATATATACACATACACATACATATGTTTTTTTTCTTTTTATCATTGGCGTGTTGTAGTTTCACCCCAATGTTTCAAAAAAAAAAAAAAGTATCTACAAACTTCCAAAATACTCCCTAGAGGGCAGTATTGTCCATATTGAGCCCAGTATACTTTTGAGACAATTGCTGTCTCTTTTGACAAGCTGTTTTTTGGTCAGAGACTGGGTAGGTTGTGAGAGCTGGGCTGTAGATCTCCAGTTTCTCATGGTCTCAAAATTTAGACTAATTTCCTTTTCATAAACAAAATGACGTGGATCCCAAAATTTTAAAGTAGGGGTTATACCCATAGTCCACATAATCCTCATTTTTTTTCTATATAAATAATATAAAAATATCATGTATGTAAATATATTATATATAAATGTCATATACATTTATATATCACATATAAATGCCATATATATGATACATAGCATGTTATATATAGCACATCTATTTCTACTTAGCTCACCTAGTGAATTTTTTATTTTATATATTGTATTTTTATCTTCTAAACTTTCCATTTGCTTATTTTTTATAGTTTATTTTTACTCTGCTGAGAACTATCTTTTCATCTATTTAAAGGTCGTGTTTACCTCGCAGAGCATAATTATAACAGCTTTAAAGTCTGTTTGTTAATTTTAACATCTGAGTCATTTTGGATTTGGCATCTGTTGAATATCTTTTCCCTTGGGTATTAGTCACATTTTCTTGATTCTTTGTATATCAAGTAATTTTGGATTGTATACTGCCTATTTTGAATGTTATGTTGTAAGAATCTGGGTGCCGTTAAAGTCCACTGGTAGATGATATTTTCTAAAGCAGGCAGTCAACCTGGTTAGGTTTAGACTATAAATTCTAGCTTACCTTCTGTGTGCAGTGGTCCTAATGTCAGTTCAAAGCCTTTGCTCTGATACTTCAGACTTATCCTACATATGCTCTACTCCGGGATTAGTTTGAGAGGTGTTTTATATCATAGTTCAGTTCTCAAAGTCTTTGCTATGTTGCTTTGGGTCTGTCCCATGCACGCTCAGCTCAGAGGTGAGCCTGGCATTTTGCTGGTTTACACACAGAATTAACCGCTTCTCCAGCTATCTCTTTGTGATTTCTTTCACACTTCCATCTTTCAGGGGCACATTTTCTCGGTCCTCTGGCCAGAAGTATAGTGTTCCTTGGAATTTTTCTCCTGTACTGCTTACGGAAGCTGTGCTGTAGGCTTCTCCTCTGATCAATATATATAGCGAAAAGTAGCTAAAAAATATGAGTAACTCACTCCTGTATGATTCACTTCTTCAAGTTTTCACTTTCCTTCTCAATCCATCTGCTTCTACTCACTTTTCAGAGTTCTCGGGTAGTTGCTTTTGTGTTTTTCCCCCCCAGAGATTTTAGTTCTAAGTGGGAGAGATAGACTGTAGTGGGCTTTCTCTATCTCAGCTGGCACCAGAAATCAATACATCCACAGTATTTCTTTTTGCGGGAGTCTGTGAGTGATAAACTTTTTTGTATGTCTATAAATGTCTCTATTTTGCCTTTATTCTGCAATGGTAATTTACTTAGGTATAAAATCCTACATTGCTAATAATTTCCCCTTTCAATTTGAAAATAACATTCCACTGTCTTCTGGTATCAGTTGTTGGCTGATGCAAAAATCTGCTGATAATCTAATTTTCATTTCTTAGTGGTAATGCCTTGTTTCTCTTGTGGATTTTAAGCTTCCCTTTATTGGTAATGTTTTTGCAGTTTCACTCCAACGTGTGTCCAAAAAAAAAAAAAGCATCCACAAACTTCCACAATGCTCCCTAGAAGGCAGTATTGTTCTGTTGAATCCATAGCACTTCAGAGACAGCTGCTGTCTCTTGACTGAGGTTTCTCTTTGGCCAGAGACTGGGCGGGCTGTGGGATCTGGGTTGTAGATCTCCAGTTTCTCATCATCCCAAAGGCTAGACAAATCCCCCTTTTATAGACAAAATGACATGGATTTCAAAATTTTAAAGTGGAAGTTGTACCCAAAATCTACATAATCTTCATTTCTGGGTTTATAGCCTATTAACACCTATTTCTTTCACTGATTCATGGAAATCTACAGCTTTCATAGGTTTGGGCTAACTTCCTTCAGTTCTTCATTTCTTCGTATTTCTCTATTACTTTTAAGATTTTAAATATATTTCAGAGTAACTTAAAGCCACTTAAGGATTCTTTGCCCACCCACCCTCCTTCCCTCCTTCCCTTCCTCCCTCCCTTTCTTCCTTCCTACCTTCCTTCCTTCTTTTTTTTGATTATCCATTTATTTATTTAGCATTAATTGAGTTAATATGCTAGGTTCTATACTAGACCTGAAGACAAAGAGATAAATAAAACCCAGACCCTTTTCTCAAGTTTCCTTCAACCTCTTCAGTATATTATTAAGCCAGAGAAAACAGTTTCAAGACATAGAACAGAGTTTTAAGGAACATGTGAAGCTGTGCCAAAAAAAACTTCGACTTAATCTCTTTCTTAGTGAGTGTGATATTTTTGGTCAGGAGGACTTAACCATTGTTCTTCAAGCTTATATAAAGCCAGTTCTGCTACTTTCTATAATATATATTACAGTAATATTTATTGACCTATGCACAGGGTTGTTGTGAAATATTTTACAACATTTACTGTCAAGTCTCATTCAATAGAGAAATTGTTACTGGAAATAGTGCTTTTGGGAAATGTTATTTTGTCAGATTGAATTATTTGTTCTATAACATCTTGTGTTAAACCTGAAAATAATAGACAAGTATTCAAAATGAATCTGAGTATTTTTTCTTTTATCAGCATTAATAACATCATTTCAAGTGAACATTTGAAAACATTTAATTTTTGAGCAGAAATAATACATATATAAATATAATTGTATGATTTTAAAAATTAAATAAATATTTGTTAATAAATATTTTTTAAAAGTAGTGGTTGGTTTAGATTAGGGACATTTTCGTTCATCATGAGTGGTTGTTATATTTTATATGTTTACTAAAAATACAAAGAATCAAACTATGTATTTAACTATTTAAAAAAAATGTTTAAAAAGTATAGGTGGGCCATGTTTGGGGAAATAAACATTGTTAGTGAGAAGCAAATAATTTCTAATATAATTTTCCCTAAATCAAATTTCTGTTAATTGAATTCTATTCCAAAATTTGTTAGAAAAACTTATACATGAAAAAATTTGTTTTAAACCATGAAGTACTATATTAACAGGAAATATTACAATTTGCAATAATAATTTAAAAAGAATCCTAGGGCTGAAATTATTATGAAGTGATTTCATAGACTTAGTTTACTTAAATGAACAAGGCTGTAAGAGAAAAAGTATGAATAAATGTTCCCCTACAAAGAGAGAGAGAAAGGAAAAATAGAAAAGAAAGGAAATCTCTCATTTTCAGTTTTTTATTCACAATTTGTGTGCAGTCCTTCCCAGCATGGGACCAGTAATTCCATTATTTGTAAAAATATCAGGATAAAATCGAAGAAATCAGGGAAAATACTATAATATTAAAATTGAATTGAAAATATTCATGTAAACTCATCATTAAATAGTGCATTAGTTATCTATTACCACAAACTTAAAGGTTAATAGAAGACACATTTATTATCTCTCTCTGTGGGTCAGGAGTCTGGGCATGGCTTAGCTAGATGCTCTGCTTCAGGGGCTAACAAAGCTTCAATCAAGATGTTGATTGGGGCTGCAGTGGCATCTACATCCAAACTCACGTGGTTGTTGGCAGCTTTTCATTCCTTGCAGGCTGCTGGACTGAGGGCCTCAGTTTCTTGTTGGCTGTCAGCCAGAGGCTGCCCTTAATTCCTTGCCAAGTGGTCTTCTCTATAGGCAGCTCACAGCATGGCAGCTGGCTTCCTTAAAGCCAGCAAGGGAGATAGTCTCCCTTGCAACACTGCCATTAGTCATACATACTATAATCATATATATGTAATTATGTGCATCTTGTCACTACTGACTAGAAGCAAGTCATGATTCCTCCCATTTTCAGGAGGAAGGGAGCACATAGAAGCATAAACACCAGAAGGCAGGGGTCATGGGGGCCACCCTAGAGTTCATCTGCCACGATATACGTTTTTTTCCTAACTCTGTCCATTGTATTGTTCAAATAATTAACACCCCTAGTATTCAGGTTGTGGTCTCTGAAAAACATTCCCCATTAAAGGGAAGTTAGGCCTTTTGGAGAAGGAGCTTATTCCAGGGCTGAGACAGGGAGAGTATGAGGAGAGCCAGGGCTATTTTTCTTAATTTTTATTTATACTAAATAAAAAAATTCAAATTCACAATTATACGTTGCCAGAAATGGCAGCAAGTGTGTTTGGTAACTGGGTTAGAGACTTTAGTATGTTGAATTGAACAAGGAGCCATAAATTGAGAAGTCTGGTTGCCCCAGACACTAAGTGGATGAAATATCAAACTCAAATTCGACAAGGGTGAAGTTTCACCTTAGGAGACTGGGTCTCACTAGGTGCGTACCACCTGAAGGAATGCTTCGAAAACACGTGGGACTATTTCAGTTGTTACAATGGTTGACAGGAATCCCCTGGCAAGGATTTCCTGGCAGTTAATGGGCAGGAGCCAAGAATGTCATATGTTCTTCAATGCATGTGACATTCTTACAAGGACAAAATTTCCTACTTCTTACGTAATCTTCAAATGTCCCCCTAGACACTCATGTATATGAAAAATCTATTTGTAATTTTCTGAGCCTAAACCTCATTTTGCATGTAAACTCAAAGTACTTTTCTTTTTTTCTAAAATTGATTTTTAAAAATATGGAATGCTTTCACAAATTTGCATGTCAATCTAGCACAGGGGCCATGCTTATCTTCTCCTTATATTTCCAATTTTAGTGTATTACTGCCGAAGTAAGCATAACTCAAAGTATTTTTTGCACAGTTTTGATATCCTGGAATTTTCCAGGAATGGAACTACTGTGTAAATTGAAAGGAGTATGAGTTGTTTTGTTTGGAACTTTACCAAGAACGGTTTAATGGTTTAGAAAATCACACCAATGACATCAATGCCATTTATGAGCTGTGTTGAATATCTTCCATTTGCCCTTCCACATTCACTCCACCCTCTCTACCTGCTCTGTGCTGTGGGAAGGAACTTGCCTTCCAGCTTCTGGATGGGTTCACTCCATAGAAAGCATGGGCAGGAAATATGGAAAGTGAAAGGAGAGTGGTGTATGACACTTGAAATGACCATAAGGAACTAGGTGTTATCTGCTCCACGGAAACATAAAATCAGATGTGACAACAGTATTCCATTAGAAAATGATAATGCTACATACATACGATTGAGTTCAGGCTGGTCAGAAGACACAAGTAAACTGTATGAAGAGGTATTTTAAACTCCCGTGATACTCGCTCCCTCCTAGTTACTTCTCCCTTAACCTACATTCATGGCTTCCCAGAGAATTCTCTGTGAGTGGTTAACAAAGAAAAACACAGGCCTGGTTTATGCACAGTTTGACAGAACCAGCTAAAAGTGGATTGGCTGCCTTCTAGCCCCTGAAAGACAGTCGGGGAGGAAAATATTCCTAGGGGCAAAACTTTGAGCAGTACATATTGTCCACTTCATGTAGAAGGAGAGATGGCCTATTTTCTCTCTGGGCATAATATTGTTGAGAGATGCAATCTGTCACAGCCTGGAATGTCCCTGTTCTTGTTTTGTGTGCTAAGAATGCGAAGCCCTGACCCTCTTTACCTGAACCATCTCTCAAGGCTGTATTCGCAAGGAGTTGCCTTGAGAAATGAGGTGCTCTCTCCTTCTGGGACAGAGAACAGGCTTACTGTAAAAGGTGTGAATTCTCCAAGGCTGGTTGGTATTCCTCGGCCGTGATGCAAAGTTGCATTGGGTACATAGTGTGTCCACCTGGGCCCCTCTGTATGGCCCTGGTGGGACTTGGGGACATGGGAAACCCATGCAAATATGCTGATGATGCTTATACTGCTTATTGTGCTGCTGACACCCAGGAAGTGAAAACAGGCTAACTTGTTAGCTTGTAAGAGAAGATCCCAAACCCTGACAGATATTTCTTATACACTTCATAGTTGTTTTTACAAGCCTTTGGATATTACGTGACTTGTACCTGATTTTGCATTGAGGGGTGCAACTTGGGATTATTCCTCTGTAGTTTTCATCCCTTAGGGGAAATTTTTGCCACTTTTATGTTTGAATGACTTATAATTTTTTGTTGTTGTTCAGGCAAAACTCCACTGGCAGAGGTGTTACTGCACATCTGTTGGGAAAAAAAGATAAGTTTTAATGACTTTATGAAACTATTTAACAAGTTTCATAGCAAACAGTACTAAGGACTAGGGGTGAATAGATTGCCAATATAATAAATCAGAAGTTCTAATATTCATTGTCAGTTTTTTTCTATTTACACTGTAGACAAATAACATTATATGCTCATATTCCAATAGTTTATAATCCTATTTTGCCCCTTTCTTTTCCATAGTAAGTTTTAGTTTTCTTAGATCTGTCTTTATTTCTCAGTTCTAAATAATGGAATTTCAGCATTTGGTCTGGAAAACCACAGGCCCTTCGAACTGTTGGTGTAAGAAATCCTGGCAACATAATAAGAAGATGATTTTCTGGTTTCTTAAAATGTTCTTGAAAATGTTATTTCTAACAAAGAGGTCTTGTAAGACATCCAGAACTCAGAACTTATGGTTTGTTCTGTGAACGTAATCTTGACCTTAAAAAGCCTGTGATTCTTTTTGTTGGTATTACTTAATAAAGTGTTTGTTCTCCTGATAAAAATATTTAAATTGACATCTCCATGTCCTAAAAGCTATGAATACCTATGAGTTTTAATAGCCAAGTGAGTTGAAAATTTATGTGCACACAAAAACGTGTATGTAAATGTTTATAGCAGCTTCATTAATCAAAAACTGGAAACAACTAAATGTCCTTCAGGAGGTGAATGGATAAACAAACTGGTAAATACATACAACGGAATACTAGTCAGTGATAAGAAGGAAAGATCTATTGATTCACTCAATAATATGAATGAATCTTTTTTTAGTGGTAAAATATACAGAACATAAACATGGATGAATTTTAAGTGCATTTTGCCAAATGAAAGAAGCCAGAATCCAAGGACCCAAAAATATTGTAGGATTCTATTTACTATATTTTGCAAAAGGCAAAACCATAGGGATGTGTATTAGTTTCCTACCACTACTGTAAAAAATTACCACAAACTTGGTGGCTTACAACCACGCAAATTTATTCTCTTACAGTTCTGGAGGCCAGAAGTCTGAAATCAGTTCACTAGGCTAAAGTCAAGGTGTTGTAGGGCTGGTTCTTTCTGGAGACTCTAGGAGAAAATTCATTTCCATGATTTTTCTAGCTTCTGAAAGCCACTTGTATTCTTTACCTTGGAACTCTGTCCTCACATCACTCCAGCCTCTTGCTTCCATCCTCATGTTTCCTCTGACTCCTTTGACTTTCTTGCTATCCTCTTTTAAGGACCCTTGTGATTACATTTAAAGACCACCTGGATAATCCAGGATCCTCTCTCCATCACAAGATCCTTAAAAAGTCCCTTTTGCCATATAATGAAACATGTACCGGTTACAGGGATTAGGACGTGGATAACTTTCGGGTCATTATTCGGTCTACCACAGGATGGAGAGCAGATAAGTGGTTATAGGGATTGGGGAGAGAGAAAGGTTGAGGACATAATGGGCTGCACAAGGGTGGTGGAGGACACATGACTCTCTAATTGTCAAACCCCGTGGAATGGTATGCCACCAAGAATGAACTTTACTGTATGCAAATTTTAAAACATCAACCTGGTTGTCAGTGATCCCGGGATGGAATGCAGAGTATGACAAATGAATATAATTGTGTTAAAAATGTATGACATGACTTCACTGATGAGGGCAGGGAAACTTTGAAAAACAGCGTTTTACAACTCGTATATACAGAGAACAGATTGGTGGTTGCCAGAGGTACGGGTGTGGAGGAGTGATATGGGTGAAGGGAATCAAAGGTACAAACTTCCAGTTATAAAATAAGTAAGTTATGGAGATGCAATGTACAGAATGATGACTATAGTTAATAGTATGGCATTGCATATTCGAAAGTTGCTAAGAGAGTAGGTCTTGAAAGTCCTCATCACAGGAAAAAAAAATTCTGTAACTATGTATGGTGATAGATGTTAACTAGACTTATTGTGGTGATCATTTCACAATATATACAACTATCAAATCATTATGTCGTACATCTAAAACTAATATAATGTTGTATGTCAATTATACCTAAATAAAAAAAGAAAAATGGTATTTTGACTAGATAATGTAAGGCTAATGACAAAAAGAACTGCACATAAATACTGTACTCTAGTTGGTAGATAGATACAGAAATACAGATATGTATTTATATGGGGTAGTATACTTACATATATTTAGATATATTTCCTGGCTGTGACTGCTATCATGGTCTAGAGGCAGTGACACCTCAGCAGTAATGAGCACATCTAGCGTCAGATCTTTGTTTCCAAATACCATCCTCCAATAAATGGAACCAGGGCTCCTTGAAGAAATGGCTAGTTCTAGGGCTGGGGGAAGGAAGAGACAAGGAGCCTGCACATGGCTTCTCCAGACCCTTTCTGAGAGTCATATGCTGTGATATTTATTCTGACTTTCATGCTCTTCTTATAGCGTGTCCCTTCCCTGTAATGAACTGTACATTTGTAAGCTTTGTTGTTTTGGGTCTTGTGAGTCTTCTTTAGCAATTGAACCCTGTTTAAGTGCCACCGATAGTGCAGCTATATCTTATTCAATTCTTGTAAATGTTGCATGGGCACTAAAAAAAAGGTATAATGTCCAATATGCATGTTTCTTTCCAGAAAGATATTACGTAAGACTTATTAGTTATATTATAAAATGATTCTCTATCCTTCATATTTTGGCTTTATAAATTAGCGTCAAATTCTATTAATAAAAGTATTTTCATCTTTGATTTCTCTTAATTTGCATTTGTTTGATATATTTCCCCTTCTTTTACCTTAATCTTTTTGTGCTTCATTTAAATAACAAAATTAAAATTTTTTAAATTTATTTTTTAAAATATATTTTAAATTATAGCTGACATACCATATCACATTAGTTTCAGGTATACAACACAATGATTCAACATTTATATACCTTACAAAGTGATCGCCATAATAAGTCTAGTAACTATCTGTCCTTGTATATAGTTATTACAGTATTATTGACTCTATTCCCTATGCTGTACATTGCATCCCTGTGACTTTTTTTTATAACTGGAAGTCTGTACTTCTTAATCCCCTTCCCCTTTTCTGTACAACGCCTTATCCTTCTCCCCTCTGGCAACCATCAGTTTGTTCTCTGTCTATGAATTTGTTTCTGTTTCTGTTTTGTTCATTCGTTTTTTAGATTCTACATGTAAGTGGAATCGTATGATATTTGTCTTTCTCTGTCTGACTTGTTTCACTTAATATAATACTCTCTGGGTCCATCCACGTTGTCCCAAATAGCAAGACTGGCATCTTAATCCAATTTGCGAATCTTGATTTTTAATAGGGAAGTGGATTCCATTTATATTTATAATGATTGTTAATATGTTTATTTTATTATTCATATCATATTTTTCTATGCTATTTTTAGTGTTTCCTTATCCTTTTTTATTTGTTTTATGATTTTAAATTTGCTTTCTCCTTTTGTCTATTTGCTTTTATCTCTTTCATTTCTTTGGAAGGTATATATACTCCTTTTGATATTGTTAAGTATGACCTTTAAGTTTTTCAAAAGCATTCTGTGTGTCTGGGGGAGGTAATGTACACAGTATTTCAATAACAAGAAAGCTGTCAATGACTATTAGGGTCATGTCAA